TGAGATACAATACTATGGACAGCCCTCTCAGACACATTATACTGACTTGGAGCTGACCAGTCCTTGTTCTATCCCCTTAATGCCAAGCACAAGGCAGTGTACCAACAAGTACCATTCTGCTTTTAGTATGAGGCCAGGTATTGAACCATGACCTTCTGGTCTCTGGGCAGACGCCTTTGCCACTGGAGACTCAAACAACAATATGAATTCAAACATTACTCTTCACAGATAGAAACTAACAGCTTTAGGCCACTCGTCCTCATAATAACATATAGCAAAACCTTTAAAAAGGGCAAATTTCTACAAGTCCTTATGATACCCCAACCATTGGGCAGCTTGGCAAGGAGTACAGGACTAGTGCCAATTTCTAACTCTGGATATCATACAGCTGAACATTCTTCTTACATCTACATCAGTATGAACACTGGTCAATACAGTCTACATACCCCAATAGAATAGGTCTTCAGCAACTCATGCTTGCCGGAAAAGATGACAATGCTTGTCGTAAGAGGCGACTAACGGGATCCGGTGGTCAGACTCGCTGACTTGGTTGATGCATGTCATTGATCCCAATTACGTGGATCGATGATCATGATATCAATCACTGGATTGTCTGGTCCAGACTTGATTATTTACAGACTGCCGTCATATAGCTGGAATATTGCTGAGTGCGGCGTTGAACAACACAACAACCAACCAACCCACACCAATCCTCTAGAGACCTGATTATTCAAACCATCTACCCAAGTGTCTCCTGCAGCCATTCATGTCAAGCAACATTTGCATTAACTCAGTGAGGTTGGTCCTTCAACTCCCAAACAGCATCCCCTTGTTTCCACGGCAACTGATGGCGTCACTTTGAGACTGCAGGACTTGTCTGCTGTATTGCGCTTCCAACACACGTCCTAATTTCGGTTTTGCATAGAAAGCCAACGCCGGGCATAAAAAGTATTAATACTGATCCTGTCAATTTCCAAGTCATTTGGGGAATAGGCTGATCAAGATTTATGTTTGTAGTGTGTAAGCCTACATGTGACGACATGTCAAAACAGGCTTAAAGATGCTTACTGTCTACATAAATATGCCAAGTAATAACTTTGGTGTACTTCATTGAGCTCTTCTTCAGATAAAGAAGTGCTGGTGTATGAGAATAGGCACTTTATGTTACTTGGTTTAAGCACGAATGCAAGATTCTAACACTGAAAAAGCATCTACACTGAAACACCATAACAATGGTATAAGCACCTATTACTCCAAATTGACTAAAATCTGCTTGGTCAAAGAAATGTTGTTACAAAAACTTGCAAATTTTGTTCAAGTTTTATTCTGCACTCAATGTGGTGCCAGTCTTGTCACCACAGCTTGTAAATATTCAACTCCTACCTAGTAAACCAGTGACTGATATTATCAGCAATGCCCTACTTCTTTAAGGTACGATGACACAACTGAGTCATCAAGCTCCAAATTTGGTACGAATGCTGAGGTTTCTCACACTGTGGTGTAATGTAAGTAGGGCTAATTGAACTTTGTATTTATGTTTAATGAGCTTTAAATTAGGCTGAACATGCTTTAGCATCATGGTACTATTCGTATGACAACACAAAGTAATTAGTCAGATTCAGACAACCAAAACACTCAGAATACCCCTATCAAAAGTTGAGCAGTACATATCGCCATCCATCATCTAACATATTCCTATAAAACGTGTCTTTTGATACTTTAAAGAATCTGGAGAGCTTATTATTTTGAATAATATATATATTTCTCAGAAGAAACAAGTACCAGTTAGATTAATGATCAATGGAAACTATCATACTAAAAAGCCGTGATGGGAGGCAGATGTTTTGATGAATATAGTTTACGATATTAAAAAGCAGAGAAGTCATCGCTTATGTCAAATATTAATCTTTTTTCCTTCAATTATAATTGTATTATCTGTTGTTAATAATTTCAAATAACATAAATGTCGAGGCATAAAAGAAATGATGAGATTCTGTGCTAACAGAAAGTAGTACAATGTTCACACCGGTGCTATCATACATGAAACATCCTATCAAATAACACGACATTATAACACTAATCTGGTCAATAAGACGATTTTTCACCTATTTACCCATCAATCACTGATCAATGAAGATAATTTGTTTACTAACGAGAATCTCTGCGATACGAGAAGCATAACATCACTCACATCTCGTACATCATGTTTCCCTCACAACCGGCTCACGTAACTAACACAGCGAGACTCAAGCCATATTTGCCGAGTTTAAAACATCAATACAAATCATTAAATTCCTACACTCAGCTTGCACATCCATTCAGGGCATGTGATATGCAGCGATTAAAATCTCTCACGTTCAGTGGCCCTAACCCAATCATTGATCAAGTGGTTCACCACAGTGCAATGCTTTGTTTTCATGGAAGTCTCATTGCTTGACGACACCTGAAATCAGTGAATATTCTTCTCACACGTTTGGGCACACTGACCTGATAGTTCTGTGATTGGAGTCATTTAACTCAATCCAAACTTCACCCACCTTAATCTGTCAAGTAATATCTTGGGCAGGACTTAATGCACAAGAGCTTCTTCCAATTCCCTTTACTTGGCATTAATGCTAATGACTGACGGTTTCAAAAATGGATAAATTTAATTGAATTCAGAATTAGAAAAAATAATCAAATTACAGTCCCAAGTTTTATGACAAAACACCTCTTTAAAAGCAGGAATATGAAACGCTGTCGACCTCATATTGCATCAAAGATGATAATGATGCCAAATTTCTTTGTGTATTCTGAAAGTGTTTTTCCACCACTCTAAGTGATCAATGGTATCTTGTCAGGACACAAGAAACAAGCTTATTGACCAGTTTGAGGAATAAAACCTGTACCCTGACCTCACCACCAGTTTGTCCATTGGCCCTGATGAGGTGATCTTTATGACTTATGCACAAACACCAAGTTGGCCAGTCAAGGAGTCTTCCAATCAAACATCACTATGAGTGTATTGCAACATATACCATCCACTCCATGTGATATTGTGAAAGGTACCATGATTCGCAGTGTATCAGACCCCTAATAGTGAGTGACCTGGTATCATGATACGGAAAGCATCACCTCCCCTCATATCACCCTCTGTTAACCTTCCTGATGAGGAGGTTCCTATCATGACATCTTGACAGCAGGACCAGATACTTGACATTCCATCTCAACATGACCAACAACTGGAGTATTTGAATACAGCTATCGGCACTGACCACTCCTCTTGGGCCTGCCTTGAGACTAACACATTGATTACACGTTAATCGATACCGCCACCGTTGCCACCAAATGCGACTCCTACTGTGGACAGCTCTGTGGCCCAAACCAGATTGATACAATAATGTATTTACATCAGCCAATTAGCAGCCTCCTCCTTCCTGCCCACAACACAGCCCCTAGTGATTGGATCACCACACTCGTCTGACACACGGGCGGGTTATAATCAAACCGACACCTCTACCCAAATGATATTTACAGCATACCAATAAAATCTGCCACCGAGTTTAATCAATTTACTGCAATACTATAGCATCAAGAGATTCTGGGCCTACAATTAAGACGTTATTTTATCAGTCTATCCGTTCCAGTTACTGTCGATTTCATGAAAATCATTTCGTATGCAGCCCATAAACTTTTCCTCCATGCCTCCACAATCATTCGGTTGAGAAAGTTACTACCACAAATTAATCATTTAAGTTGCATTTATGGACACAAGGTTCAGAAGCCAATCCTCGAGTAGAGGCTATAAACACTCGGTGAAAAAACAAGGTCACACCAAGGTCACCTCTTTCCCATAGCAAAACCAGTTCATGTAACTTCCTGAAGAAAATTTGCCCCATTTTGCTCGTGAAGTCTGAATAATTGATGAAGTAGTCACCAATGCTGATTAATTTTGCTCCTCACCACATACGCGACCTAGTGCCTGCCTGCAATGCCTGTCTTTTGGCCAACTTGACTCAATACAACATCCTCAGCCTTCCTTGTTGAGTGAGTGAGTGAGTGAGTGAGTGAGTGAGTGAGTGTGGTTTTACGCCGCTTTTAGCAATATTCCAGCAATATCACGGCAGGGGACACCAGAAATGGGCTTCACACATTGTACCCATGTGGGGAATCGAACCCGGGTCTTTGGCGTGACGAGCAGACGCTTTAACCACTAGGCTACCCGACCGCCCCCTTTCCTTGTTGAAGTGTACTCACCAGGGAACAGAACACAAAAGCCACATTTGTTTTTCTTCAAATATGTTATTTAGTTTACTGCCATGTCATCCGTGGTAACTTTCAGTAAGTTACAAACTCCTCCTACGCTATCCTTCTCAGCATTTCAACAAGACAAGTTGGACAAGGTTCAGGCTTCTTTTTGCAGTGTAAAGATGGGACTGACTTTTATCTTGCGATTTATTGCAATTATGATTCATGTATTTATGATATGTCCCACGATAAATTGCATGTCAGGGTTAGAAACTAACAGTTTTTGTCCACTAGTCCTTATAATGATAACATATAGCAAAACCTTTAAAATAGGCCAATTTCTACTAGTCCTTAGGATACCTTTACTATTGGCCAGTTAGGACTACAGGACAAGTGCCAATTTCTAACGCTGCATGTGTTTTTTATCTGTAACTTGTTATGGCATTTTCAGTGGATGATGTCACTGAATGTTAAATTTGTGGTCCCCGACCTTATGCATGTTTCACCAAAGAGTTCCAGTGTTAGCACACCGCTATGTTATCTTCGATTTTTATGTCTTAATTCCAAAATGGACCCCAAATGGCTTACCCTGCATCTTTTACCACTTCCTGTACCTGTGATAGAGTGCACCTCTACTGCAGTGGATTTTTCTTCTCTCATTTTGATCATGCAAAATGGTAAACCTGATGAACCACTTTTGGGGTAATGAAATTAAGTCTTTTCACACATCAAACATGACCTCAACACCAACTGCATTCACAAGCTTTACTTACAAAGGGCCAGGTCCTGTTCCAACTTGTAGGCATGTTGTTCAGCCCGCTCCTTGCGCTGAAATTGCAAACATTATTTTTACATTAATTTGAAAAAAGTACAACAAAACATATCTGGAAGACCATCTTATTGATGTGTTTCAATTCGATAAAGAAACTAAATAGAATAATTAGCTATTTAATAATTATTGTACACTGTTCCAACAAACCCTACTTTGCTGTTAGCTGATGATACATCCATCTAATCAACCTTTCAGATAATTGTTTCTTATCAACATCCTGCCAATGCAAAGAGTTTCTCATTTAATAACATCCTACCAAGGCAACAACAGTTTCCCATTTGATAACATCCTACCAAGGCAACAATAGTTTCCCATTTAATAACATCCTACCAAGGCAACAATAGTTTCCCATTTAATAACATCCTACCAAGGCAACAATAGTTTCCCATTTAATAACATCCTACCAAGGCAACAATAGTTTCCCATTTAATAACATCCTACCAAGGCAACAATAGTTTCCCATTTAATAACATCCTTACAAGGCAACAATAGTTTCCCATTTAATAACATCCTTACAAGGCAACAATAGTTTCCCATTTAATAACATCCTACCAAGGCGGGAATAGTTTCCCATTTAATAACATCCTTACAAGGCAACAATAGTTTCCCATTTAATAACATCCTACCAAGGCAAGAATAGTTTCCCATTTAATAACATCCAAGGCAGCAATAGTGTTTTTCTGATTATATCCTGCCAAGGCAACAATAGTTTCGAGACAGTAATGGTTGCCCATGTCATTCTAACAGTTCCCAGGCAATAACATACTACTAAGACAATAAGCTCATAACAACATACCAATGTGACAACTTTCATTTAACAGTTACAATTATACAGGACTGTTTCTATCTGAACAAACCTGCACATGTTAAGAAAGAAACATGTTTATTTACGATAAACCAGTACCAACAAAATATTAGACAAAGGACTTCTTAGTTCTTAAAAAAACCATAAATCATTTGGGTTTCACATTTTGGGAGTTACAGTTGATAAACTTGTCAAAAAGATTGTCCGAGACAGCACTGAGAGACTAAGGTTGGTCAGGTATAGAACAGTTAAACTTCTATGATTGCATTCTATGTGCATCAGTGCATACATAAGCTTAACCATCATAAGCCAGGGAAGGCACAGAATAAATTTGGTTGGAATAACAATCAATAAATTACTTTGGACCGTTTCCAACGCTTACAGCTTAGGCTCAGTTAAGCTCTAAACCCCTTATCGTAATCTAACACAAACTATCAATATTTCCTCTAATCTTACCACCTGGAACAAGATGACATTTGGTTCAATAACCCCTCAACCATGACAGCCACAGTGCCCTAGTATGTTATAGAAGACATAAGCCCCACTAATACCCAATAGACAAACTGAATAACCATATCAATTTTATATCCCACCATGGCAGCTCGAGCTTTGTATTGACTTTTGAGTCTACAGAGTGTTATGCACCACCAACACTCCACTTCAATGGCCTGCTAAATGGGCCAAGTTGTCAAAAGTTATAAAGCTATATTTAGCTCAGTCTTAATAACCTGTAGCTCAAAGGACAAAACATGTTTTCAGAAAGGCAAAGTGTTCTTTAGAACTGCACTTTCCCATGACCTTTAAGGAGAAAATAATGAACACTTTAAGCTTAATCAATTTCAAATTTGAGGAAAGATTTTATTCATTCTTGGGGTGTTTAACAAAATGTTGACAGCCTGTGAGCTATTTTTGATACTCATTCAACCATTATTAATATGTGCAATGACAGGGAATATATGAACAATTTTTTGCATGTCTTCAGATAAACACTTTTAATATTCTACTATTTCCAAACACGTTTGTACTTGATAGGCAGTCAGACAAATATTAGGATAACCACAAAAACTATTATGCTGTAAAGCGGGATTAGTTTGAGCTACTAGTTCAATGAGAATGAGTTAAGTAAGAAGTGCACCCAGTGGCAGCTTACAACTCTCTCAGGAGTACTGGGTTACACAGCATCAAATCAACTGCCATGGAGGAAGCTCTCAATAGAAAGGTAAAGCTAGTTCACAAATTGAGATTCTTGAAAGTTTCACATTTTTAATTCAAGGGCAACTTGCAATATTCATGGTCTAACTCATTCTTGCTGCAATCAATGCTCAAAATGTCAAACTTATGGAAACTCTACACAAAAAACTATCTAAAATAGTGCCCCCAAATTCTTTTGCAAGGGCCCTTCAACGAAAAATAATATTAAGGCTCAGGTTTAATTAAAAAAATATCTGGTTTTTCAGCTGCAGCTTATGAGACATCTAGCCTCCATACAAAATCAAAGGTCCCCAACTACACTGATTGTCACTGGGGGTGGGGGGGCACGGGTGGCCCAGTCGTCTAAGGCGACGCAATTCGCTGTGCAGAGTTGCATCCCTTGGGCACACCAGAAACCTATTATTGTGGGTTCGAACCCCGGTTCACCCCGATTAAGTTTCTAGGTTTGTCAGCACCATACCCGTGCTTGTGGGTTTCACCAAGGTGCTAAACGTCTGAGACCTGCATCACTTCGGGCTTTCCTCCCACATTAAGCTGACATGCCGCGATATAACTGGAATACTGTTAAAAGCAGCGTTAAACCCAACTCACTCACTCACAATTGTTACACTGGTACCAGCTAACTTGGTAAATACATGTCCACGAGACCATGAAACAGTCCCAATTGTTACCAGCACTTTCACATTACGTTGGTGATCAATGTATTTTAGGCTTAATATTTATTAACTTGGTGACATGTGTTTCCTGATTTTCTCCCTGATCCCTGCTGTGGTGAGCCAAGCGTTAATCTGTTCTTACCTTATTAACATCAAAAATACCATGCAAGTAAATCTGTTTCAAAACAATAAGTTTATAAAAAATTAAATGTTCACAAACCTTTCTTTCCTTTCGCTCGTCTCTGGTTTCAACACGTGTGGGCGGTGGGGTGTCTTTAGGATCCTGAAATGAAATGTAAATATTCAGTCTCAGGAATAACGGAATCAAGTGCCACACAGAGAGCTATAAATGTCTTGGGATCCATCCGCTCTGATCATGGCTAATGCAGGAACACGATGTGTGAAAAAATGTTGTACAAGCAACAGTTGAGTTTATAATCATACAAACATCATCGTAGAACATATCTCCTTCCCATATGCCCAGGATTTATCACCTGAGTTTGATGCAGTGTATACTTTGGCAAAGTCAGTCTCACTCCCAGCATACCTCAAACAGGTTGATGGTGGGCTCAAAATGTACAAGTAAGTATGAGAGTAAAATACGTCTTCAAATAAGATTCTGCCACTCCTGAATCAGTTGTCATAGCGTAGTGGTTTTCACAAATAGTGTCACAGATTCAAAATCTAGATAAAACTAAATATCCTATTCCTTGAATGAAACAGTTTTACGTGTATATGATGCGCATTACGTGCAGTAAGCACAGATTAAATGAATCCTCAAATTTTGAAAAAAACCAAAACCATGAAATATCAAATTCACTTTTCATCTCCAGATGATTATGGACATTTATAATCAATAACTATTGATTTGGGGTAACTGATCAATCATCAATAATAGTCAATCATTACAATATCATTTATTTAAGCAATGCAGTAAATGCAGCATAAGTCATTTATTCATAATGAATCATATTCTTAACATTCTCTTAAAGTTGATGAACACCTAAAATAGTCCTCATTTAGTCTACCCCTTGTTTAATAAGTTTTACAGGGTCTAATGATGCTGTCACTGAAGTCGAAATCTCTTATTACTAAGTCTCAGAATCATTACCACAAGACATAAGTCTTGTTTAAAATACCCCACCAACTAACCATTTTACCTGCGACCACACTTCTAGTGCATCTGTTTATTGGTCACAAGAAAAGACAAACATGCCATTTTTTTTAGTAGCATGAAAAAGTTTGTTTTCCTTCACAACCAAATCTTACAAAGGATGGGTTGCCTGAACGGCATTATTTAGGACTAACAGAAACAGTTGAGTCAAACAACGTGGTGAGCGAGTCCTGCGACTGATGACAGGAGTGCTACTTTCCTGGCAACTGTTACCAAGTACCTTCCCTAACTGGTACAGGAACATGTGGTACGAGTTACGTGTGCAAGACTTCCCTGTGGCTGCTGCCAAGACAGTTGCCTCCAGCTCGGAGGTATTTGTCGCATCCCTTCCAATCTCACCGGGTAAATTTAGCAATGGACTATCAGTAACTTAGTGCACGGTTGGTTATTGTCTCCCCTACAGTGCCACAGAAGCAAGGGTTCTGCTTCCGGTGAACAGGGTTTATCGAGACAATGGCTTAACGTGTATGGCAGATATCTTTTCTGTGCTCTTTTTCGGCATGCACTATCGCTCTGGCTCTGTCTCCGCAAGTGAGGTATACATTTTGTCATTTTTTGGTCCAACAATTCCGTTACCCGAAACCGATGTAGGTTACAAGGTGATGTGCATCCCCTCTCCCCCCACCTGCATGCTTCAACAGATGGTGCGTCATGTGCACGCATGGTGCAGGTATCAGATACCATCGCTCTCCCTATCTCCAACATGGGTGATAAAGGCTCAATAATAATCTTATTTCAAGCCATAAAGATTTTGAAGAAAAAGTAATTGATGTGATAATCATAGGTCATAAACCTGTCTCCTAAAACCCTCTGCCTATGCATGTATGTATGCACTTCTCATGTGATCAAAGTTATATGACATTAATATTGCTTACTTCCATAACTTTTATGTAAGTACAAGGGCTTGACAGTTGCTACCTTAACATTTTAGAACTTTCATCAGCATCAACTAGCATCTGATTCATGTGGGTGTGGAGCGTGCCGAATACACTCAGTATGACCATATATGCAGATTTCCAAATACATAAATACAAACAGTCTGCTAGATTCTAACAAATACTACCCAATCCTTCATGTTACTATAGTTAATCAGTAATGGCATGGCAAATAAACTATAGTAACAGGAAAGAATTGATTTGTTTGTTTGTGTGTTTGTTTATTGTTTAACGCCGCACTCAGCAATATCTCTTCCATATGACGGCGGTCTGTAAATAATTGAGTCTATACCAGACAATCCAGTGATTGACATCATGAGCATCGATCGATCGAGCATTGGGATGCAATGGCATGCATTAACCAAGTCAGCAAGCCAGATCCCTTCAGTCGCCTCTTACGACAAGCGCAGTCGCCATTACAGAAGGATGGGTTGCTGAAGACCAATTCTGTCTCAATTCTTCACGGGTATGAAAGAATTGAGTGGTCCTTAAAGTCTTTTGAGTAGAATATATCAGCTGTCATCATACAGATGAAATTTATAGCTTAAAAGAGAGGCTTCATGTTATGTCACAATGCTACCATTCACCTGGAAATGAAGCCATGACAACTATGGTATCACAAGGTGATGTATTGATAATCAGCTATGTGGGACAAATTTATATTGTTGGAAATTGCATGATAAAATACTATTTCTAATAAAATCAGTTCCCAAACCACTGTTAATCAAATGACAAGCTTACTGAGAATATTGTGTTTCTCTAGTCACACTTTTATCTATGATGGTATTGATACTCTTATCAAATTATAATTTCCTATCTTGCATCTTTGCAGCCCTAACTTACATCTACATAGTGTATCCTTCGAAATTCTGACTGAAATATTGTTTTTTGTACATACATGAAGGACAAGATAGACACAATTTTATGGATAACAACTTCTTTAATACTGTGAAAAGCGTAGTTCCGGTATAGCAAGCAAGCAACGGTATAAGGATCTATACCGAAACGTCGCTTTTCACAGTATTAAAGAAGTTGTTATCCATAAAATTGTGTCTATCTTGTCATCCATCACCCTTTAAGTAATGCCTATCAAACAATTTATACATGAAGGAGTTATCTAAAGTACCACTTGAACTTGTATCCAACAGCTAAACATTTCACAATAAACGTATCTCATGCTCTTAAAAACCAAACTTAAAAAGTTGAGTGATCTTAATGTTATTGCTCTTTATTCCTGAATTCACTGAAAAACATGATTCCAAGATAAACTGCCTATGAATGTCTGTTCATACTTTATCTTACAATAAATATCAACAGGTGTTCAAGAAGAAAGGTGCTGAATTAAAATGTTAACATTCTTTCTTTTACTGATTGAATTATTTCTTGAAACTTGATCCAAAACCTGTCGAAAACCTGCCTCACACTCATAAATCGTGATCCCCCAAATTCATAGTAATTAACATTCTTTGCAGAAAGGTATTAAACGTGTTAAAAGCTTGGATATTGTAAGTGATTTTATTAACATTGTAAACACTACGCTTCATGTCTATGCAGTAGTGCAACACCAGCCTTGTAGAAGGTAGGTCTTTAACACACACGGGGGCAAGTCCATCATGCTGCTCTGAGGGATAGCCTCTCCGTTTTACCAATTGAACCCAGATACATGCAATTAAACACCCCTCACTTAGATATGTTTGATACCTTATCTACCCACCTAGCTTCCCATCATCCCACTCATAAACCTACCTCGTTTTAACACTTGTGTAACACTGTCGACAACACAAAGCGCCATGTGGCATCAGAGACTACAGATCATCGCTTGATTAAGTAGACATGCTCCACATACACAAGTGTTAAAAAGGGGAGTGGAAGTCCAACTTTAATGATGTTCAGTGGTATAATGAGGTAATTGTGTCTCTGTAATCAAAGGGAGTGGTTCCAGTCGAGTGTGTCAGCAGGGAGACCTAGGTATGGCAGTTCCAAATCATACACATCCTGATGTCTAACAAGTGCACCTTCTGTCAATCTCGGTAGGATTTTTGTTTGTATATTTAAGAATACATTCCTGGGTTATCAACAGTTTCATAGAGAATAACAGCTTTCTATTGACCGATACTTGGACAAATTGTTTGGTATGTTTTTAATCATAAATCTCAAACGATTTCATTTGATTTTCCTGTATTCAACATGTCAATTAATGCAAAGGCATCCTCAAGTCTCGTAGAATCTTGAATATTTTGGAATATGCTGTTGTATATTTCTACTTGGCAATCAGACTGTAAGCAGTGTTAGACATTGGCACTAGTCCTGTAGTCCTTACCAAACTGCCCAATACTAAAGGCATCCTAAGGACTAGTAGAAATTGGCCCATTTTAAGGGTTTTGCTATATGTTATCATTATAAGGACTAGTGGACAAAAACTGTTAGTTTCTAACCCTGCTGTAAGACTTTAAAAGTTAATATCCCTGCTGCTACATATTAGTGTGATTTGATTTTGTTTAATGGTTGTCTAACACTGCACTCAGCAATATTCTAGCTGTATGATGTCTGCCTGTAAATGATCAAGTCTGCTCCAGGTAACCTGGTATCGATAACGTGAGCAATGATCCATGCTGCTGGGTTAAAATAACACGCTATAAACCAAGTCATTGAGCCTGACCACCCAATTCATTTGGTCACCTCTTACGACCAGCAGATAATATTGTTATCGAATTAGTTCATGCCAGTTGCATTGTAATCACTAAATTCCCCAATGACATAAAATCACCAAAACTGACAAATACTCGACATGTTTTCCCAAAGATTCTCACTCAGTTCACATCTTGTAAGACCAAATGAATATATTGGATGAATTATCATTACTCAAAATCAAGAGGGTCTTCTACGGTATTTCAATCCTGGCGCCTGACCCAAAAATCTGCAACTTTCAACATTAGGGCTATGACAAGGAACCCTCGACTATCGTGCCTAATTATGACCAATGAATACTTTTTTTAATATATGACAAATTTCATTATGTAACAGCATGTGTCATGTGGGTATACCAAAGGTCCCCTCCATACAGGTATTCAAGTGAAAAGTCATCATCTTATGATTATTTTCATAGCAAGTTTGTCAAGTTTTAGCATAAAACAAAATACAATATCTTTCTGACCTATAAACTAACCCACCAATTTGCAACTTTTCGGACTTGAAAAAAACTTTTATAAATTATTTTCCTTCCTGTCAACCTATATTTCAGGAAATTTTACGTGAAAGAATAGCATTTGTTTTTTTCCAGATTCAAAGCAGTGTTGAACCCAACCCACTCTTTTTCTCAATAAAGGGAGAAAACTTCGCAAACACGAATTCAAACCGTCCACAAACACCCAGGCACCTGACAACACAATAATCCCACCCAACCCAGTTCAACACGTGGAATTAAATATCAAATATATATTTTCTATTCTCCTTCAGTCAAAGGACATCGATGCAATTGAATCCCAACGTCACGACCGGATCCAAGCCGCCAAGAGGATCCGTCGGTCTAAATCAGCCCAGAGTCAGCGTTCCTACTCCGTTGACTCGAGGACAGAAGAGAGCAGTACAACATGCCTTCCCAACTGTCTGAGGATGCAGCAGAGGTCTGACCGAGACCAACTCTATCGGCCGCAGAATGACCCCAGCAGTTCTGACTACCCTTCCCCTGACTCAAACCCTCCTCTCTCAGAGGAGGCTGTGCACTATGCTGGTCAGCGCTTCTCACACACCTGGTCTGCCAATAACAAGAGCTTCCCTGACGAGTTGCGTGATGACCAAACTGCCCCTCTTCTGGGATCGAATGCACAAAACTTTCGGTAATTCAAGGATACATTTTCAGCAATATATATATATATATATATATACATCGTTCTTAAATGTTATTAACTTTGCTTAAAGATGCTTCTTATAACTTCCATTACCATAAGTATAATTAAATGGATTAAAGGTGAAATGAAAATAAAAAAAAGAAATTTCTATTTGAGGAAAAAAAATGAGACTGCTCAAGATGATTACAGTCGCTATATGGCTGAAATAATGCCGATGTGATGGTAAAATTTAACTCACACTCCAAGATGATTACTTTATTTAATATTAACAAAATGTATTTCCGGATAATGATCTATATGTTCGGCTTGGGCTTCTTAAAAGTACACAAATACATATATTTACCATTACTATATTGTTTATTTAAATTTGAATTCAATAATACCATTTAAAATTTCATCAAGAAAACAGCTACATAGAATGATTCTGCAGCCCCATCAGAACTGCTTGGCTATCACCTGGACTCATCCTTTCTGTTACTAACCCGCCTTGAGTTCATGACACTGAACAGCACAACGCATAGAGATGTCATAATACAGCGATAAATCAATGTGATTACCACTGGCATTATTAATACAACTGCAAACATGTGTGTGTGACAGACACCGACCTGTATTGACATATTGACATATGAGATGTTCACGCTATGCCCCATTTCTTCTCTTTTACAAAAACCTATTAATAACACCTTCTCTTTTCAATTCTTTATTCTAAGAATGAATGCCATCCAATATCTAAGCTTAATGTTACTTTTTCTCATGAAGCATATGGGAAGGTTTTGGTTTTTGAGTTTAAAAAATCATTGTCATATAACATAAACATGACTGTGTATATAGTAGGTGAGGTGAGGTGAAATTGGGTTTAACGTCGCGTCCAAGATTATTGCACTTAAATAGCGACGTGCATGTACTTGTGTGGCTGCTTGTACTAGTCCGGACTGATGCCGATTTATAGTGCTAGCGCACTGAGATACCATGCCGCAGTTTAACATGAATACCCCACTCAGACACAGTATACTGACTCCGAGCCGACCAGTCCTTGTTTTAGCCCCTTAATGCCTAATTTTAAGTGTTACGTCCATACCCACTTCTGTAAAAGTTATGATGGGCAAACAAAAATATTTGTAGGATAGCCTTAATGATGGAAAATATCCCAACACAACCCCTAATAATTTTAGAAGATAGCTACATCTAAAAAACGCCCAAAACCTGTTTCAACTGTGTGCGCCCAAATAACTGACTAATTTGTTTAAAAACTACCATAGTAGAATAGTATTACCTAGCCACAAACCGCCTACTCACATGTAATAGCACTGTACAGATGCGTGTCAATCTCAACAAGTGTTAGACTAATGTTAGTATTCTAAGGAACCTATCTGGTCGGTGGTACCAACAATCAATGTCCAATCAAACCAATTCTGGACACTTGCAAACAATCTAAACACAAGTCAAATCTTACTTAGTTATTATCACAATTTGTCTTTTCATTCTGTAAACAAAACAAGGAGACCAACATTTCAATATTTTCATATTGGACCATCTCGATTTTATAATTACTGGTACTGAGTATGTTTACTTCCATTTGTCGGTCCAGTCAAATCTTGAATCCTATTTATTTGTCATGGGCGGATACAGAGGGGGGGTGCGGGGGTGCGCACCCCCCCTTTTTATTTCGAAAAAAATCTTTATTTCTGTATAAATTACCACCAAAGACAATAAATAGATCTTAATTGTGCACCCCCCTTTTAAAAAAAGCTGTATCCGCCTATGTTTGTCATGATTCACAGCCACTGTATCTTCAAGTTTTACATATGGGTGTTTTCCACAAGCCATTTATCTGTGACGTGAAATCATTTTCATCTCTGTCATGCAAATGTCCTGTTTTGGACTTAAACTACTCTTACAGAGGCAATGTCAAGCAAATTAACAACATACTCTGGATTTAAGGTTTTTTATCATGTTTATAGCCAATGTCTTGTGAATGAACAACCAATTCTATTTATAATTGCTATTACAGAATTAATACCCTAACATTAAGACAAAATGACGAAAAAGCAAAATTAACCCGCTGACAAATAAACCTGACATACACCACAAACATGTTGTCACCAATAAAAGAATATTAATTATTATCTGAAACAGACTATACTACATTATTCTTGACTGTTCAATCTTTTATGTTCTCCCTCAAAGCCCTACATCAACTAACAATTAATGCACTAAATAACGACACAGCAATATGCTGCTATGAAAGTGGGCACATCCATTTATGATCTATCTGCTAAAGCTCTGGCATAAATGCGATCAATTGACCCACAATGCCTGAACAGCAATACATTATGAACGAATTTGTGTACATATGTTAATGGCAGCCACTGATACAGCAACCTACAGCATCCTACAGCAGATTATGAATCTGTTCAATGTTTGACTTTTCCACGTTCCAACAATGGGACGATACGTCACCAATCTAGGAACTATGGTACGTGTGACACGCTTATTAAGCACTTAGCAGAGTAAATTGCAGTAGCTGATCATGTGATGATTCAATGTAAAGTGTATCCCTACGAGGTTGCTTCAGTCCTCAGTCGAGAGATCAATTTTTGCAACACTACGTATTCTTTCGATGGCTGGGTTCAATTGAATTATGCGCGCCTTGTGGGGAAGTGTGTGTGAATTATTTATACATTTCGTGTGGAGACTATACACTATCTAGTCAAGAGACTGCTGCACCAACCACTGTGCTCTTAGCCATGTTGGTGGTGCTTTCAACATACACATCTAGTAATGACAGAATCTTTGAGTAGACAAGATGTGCCAAAAACTCATGTGGAATTCGTTGGAAAAGTCATCTGTTGACAAATTCAAAAGACCGAAGGCTGCTGGGCGCATTAGCAACAGCCATCCAATCGATAATTTCAAGCTGTAGCTATAACTAGCCGCAGTGTCACGGCGTTTGTGCCCCGCTGAATACTGACTAGCTTACAATGGCGACATTAGTGTCCGCCATTTTGGAAACGCTGTAAGTTCGTTTTCTTTGACAAGTCAACGTTTGCATTTATATTTTACAAGCACACTTTCACTACTTATTTTTCTTTTGGCACTGCACGAAATATTACCTCAAATTCCTTCAACAAATGTGCCAATCCCCCGTATGGCACTCGCTTCTTCTCGTGGCTCTGTTTGTCGACTGGCGGCTTATATGGTACAGGATCGCGAGCGGCGAATAAAGCCAGCAAGTTAGGTGGTAGATACTGAGTCATCTTGCACGCTCTGCTTTAGTTCAAGCCACTAATATAGTCTTCTATCCTTCTCCTTTCGAATGTTCATGCATATATTTGAAGATAGCGGCCCTGTTTCCTGAATTTCACGTGAAAAGCCAAACGCACATGGTAAATTACCCCGTCCCTAAAAATCACACAGCGTGGTCGATCGATCGTTGCTGGAAAGCAGCAGGTGCGCGAGCCGTACAATAAAGACTGGGGTAAGCACGCTGTCCGCACCAAATGATGGTGCGGGGCAGGATGTTGTTGTTGAAAAAATAAAAATTGTATTTTGAGCGGAGTTATCAGATAGACTATTAGTCACAAGTATTCAGCAGTGTCTATTTACATAATCGATTATTTTTTTGGTTGGGAATTCCATTGAGTAACAGTGGTCGCGCCTGATTGGTCAGTATTTACTACTGTCTGTTTTTAGACAACAGAAGCATGAGATGCTAGACGGGATCGGTATAGGTACTACCCGAAAGGTACAGTGTTCGATTTCGAGCTTCTCTAGGCCATAACCTGACATGAATCCTCTCACATTTTCTTCTTAAATACGCACGGCCTGCATAATGTCTGTTTCGTTAGGAATAATAGCTCTCGTGAACCAATGGGCTCGTGGAACATTTTCGGACTATTCTGCTTGCATTGTAAGTAGGGTTCAGGCTGGTGCGCTGCCAATGTAACGCCATGTCGGGGTGTGGATTGTTAACCATGGGCCGGAGGAGAATTCTCTATCGTGTTAGGGATTTGTTACCGAATGACAGTGCTCGCGGGCATGACAATCTCTCGCTAGAAAATGACGGACCCCTGGCGAGAACGAGTGACGAAGTGACGTCAAAATAATCGATTCTAAGCTCTTCTCTGTACCATCCGGGCATGGCGCTCGGGTAATATTTTTGTCCGCCATATTTGTCGATATATAATAATCCTAAACTGACCAAAATTGTGAGTAGGCTCCATATGAATGTGGAGCATTGACGGGGGTGTACCCCGTGCATGGATGTAGCAGACGACGCCGGAGGATGGAGGTTGCCATGGCTGGCCTTGAGGGCAATGGCGGCCCTGCTGGTTTTATGTCGCAACGTCCCCTCATTTCACGTTCATCTAATCTTCCCAATTCCAGGTCTTTTCCCAAGCTGACTGACAACGACGATGTCAATGTGGATGATGGAATGGGTACGGCAGGGAACGACTTCGAGTGTTGTGAGCGGGTCGTGATAAACGTCAGTGGCCTACGTTTTGAGACACAACTGAAGACACTTAACCAATTCCCTGATACATTGCTGGGAAATCCACAGAAACGGAATCGGTATTATGATCCTCTTCGAAATGAATACTTCTTTGACCGAAATAGGCCAAGTTTTGATGCAATACTTTATTTTTACCAAAGTGGTGGAAGGTTACGGAGACCTGTCAATGTCCCACTGGATGTGTTTTCAGAGGAAATTAAGTTTTATGAGCTTGGGGAAGATGCATTTGAAAAGTATCGAGAAGATGAAGGATATATTAAGGAAGAGGAAAAGCCATTGCCTCAGAATGAGTTCCAGAGACGTGTGTGGCTATTATTTGAATACCCGGAAAGCTCAACAGCGGCAAGAATTATAGCCATATTCTCAGTTCTGATTATCCTGCTTTCCATTGTGATATTTTGCCTGGAGACTTTACCAGAATTCAAACACTACAGGGTTGTCAATGCCACCAAAAATGAGTCCCAATCGTCAACCACACAACCCTCAATTGAAGAAGATGATCTTCCAAAGTTCAATGAACCATTTTTCATAATCGAAACATGTTGCATAATATGGTTTACATTTGAATTGCTTATTAGGTTTGCCTCCTGCCCTGAAAAGCTGGGATTCTTCAAGAATATAATGAATTGCATTGACATTGTGGCCATCATTCCATACTTCATAACCCTTGGAACTGTGATTGCTGATGAAAGTAAAAGCAACAGTCAGGCTATGTCTCTGGCTATTTTGAGAGTGATCAGACTTGTGAGAGTTTTTCGTATTTTCAAATTATCTCGACACTCCAAAGGGTTGCAGATTTTGGGCCAGACCCTGAAAGCCAGTATGAGAGAGCTGGGCCTACTGATCTTCTTCTTGTTTATAGGCGTTATCTTGTTTTCCAGTGCTGTGTATTTTGCAGAGGCAGATGCAGAACTTTCTCATTTCAAAAGTATTCCGGATGCATTTTGGTGGGCTGTGGTCACCATGACAACAGTGGGTTATGGAGACATGCGTCCTATTGGAGTGTGGGGGAAACTGGTAGGGTCGCTGTGTGCAATTGCAGGTGTTCTAACTATTGCTCTACCTGTGCCAGTTATAGTGTCAAATTTCAATTATTTCTACCATAGAGAGACCGAAAGTGATGACAAACACAACTATACGCATGTGCAGTCATGTCCAAATTTCCCAAGGAAAAAGAGTTCTTTGGATTCTGAATGTGGCTCTGATATCATGGAAATGGAAGAAGGGAATAGTCTGATGGTTACGGACAAACTGAAAGAAAATCATGCAAACAAAGTAAACAATCCTTCTAGCATCAACAATTTAAGTATTGAGACCGATGTTTGATGTATGGCACATGTGTTTCGTTGATGGTGTGTTTGAATTGTGCTACAGTATCCCAGCAAGTATGTCAAAGAGTCAGGTTTTTATCTTGCCATTTTCCATTGTTGAAAGACAAGAAGCACAGGTCCTACCCAACATGAACCTGGTCATGCTTTCTACAGCAAACCCAAGGACTAGGTTATCTAGTCTTGGCTACTGACACCAGTTAGGATGAGATGTAAGCCTGATCCAAAGATTGTCTTTGATTCTGGAGAACATGATATTACCAAGTTTTTATGTGATAATTGTTATATATCCTCTACTGACAAGCATTTCCTGCATAGTTTCAATGAGATATTTCATTATGGTGTTAACATTAAGCGTTAATACCTAGTGCTGATGACCATGAGATGCCCTCCTTCCTTTAAGCTGTGTTTCATGTTGAGCCAAACCACTTGTGCAAATTATCTTACAACATTGAATCTGCTTATCATTCAAAATTAGGTGTGTGGATTCCAGTATGTATCGATGCGGCTAACAATCAGACAAGTAGAAGAGACAGTATTTCTTCATCAACAAGTGTAACAGATATATCTACCAGCTCATTGCTTTCATCTATGCATTCTAAAGAAATGGAAAAGTTTAGCTGTCGAGTTGCGAGGAGCACCTCCTTTTCTGTAGTAGCCTGAGTGACTAGCCGTGACTGACGCACATGCGGATACCAAGGTAATGATGGAGGCAACATTCCCTGACGACGATGTCCCCAGCTCCAAGTAGTGTCCCTCTTCCAGCTGTGTCTCTGCCAACTGCTCCGACCAACCATGAGATGGCTACACTTCATCATGTTCACACCTTATGACCAGGAAGGTTACCTTCTCAGGGAACTTGTGGATCACAGTTCAGGTACGTGCTTGTCTTTTATTATTGTTTGTCATCTTGTCCAGGGAAAGAATTGCGTTTTCTTTCAAGCCTGTCACATGTCACCTGTTACAATGTCAAGGTATGCCCTTTGACATTTGAAGCGTGCCAAGAGAAGTACAAGAAAATTATTTTTCAACCATCTTTGATCTCGGTGAATGTCATTTCATCAGCCTGATAGTAAATTTGTCCTCCCCTTTTTCAATGAGATTGATGATACCCTGACAGCTTCTGAATTCCAAAGATTATTTTGTAATTCATACTTACCATGAAACATTTGTTCCTTTTTGTCGATTACATGTGCAAAAGTGCATGTACCACTGAATTCATTTAATAATTTTGCAGGACTTCAGGCACCAAGAACATAGTTTTACCACGCTTTTATGATGTCTGCCATTGGTACTTTAATACTAAGAAGTGCGCACCTTGTTGTCACCAATAGTCAGAGACAGGTTTTCTATAAAGAAACCTGTAACAATGACAGTTGAGGTTGGTCAAGATCGTCTCCTCTGAGTATTAGTTGTCTTGTTTGGAATGTCAAGTAGACTAGAGATAAAGAATTTGTAACTGCAGGGATTGCCTTGTACTTGCGTTATGTCAAATCCATTGTCTTGTGATTGTTCAAAGTTGCGAACACATTAAAACAATTTGTCATAAGCCCAGTCTTTCAGTTTCATGATGAGACATCCCACATATCTGTGCAATGTTTTGAGGAGAACTTGTTCATTGCAAGTGGATAGTACTGTGACTGTCTGGTTGTCCGTTCACACTGTAGATAGTTTGCTAGATTCTTATGATCAGTAGCTTCTTCACTGCATCTGAGTAGAATATCACTCTGTTACAGTATCTGGCAGAGGAAATGATCCATTGTCAGTTAATTTGTTCCCCCTCATTTCACACATCAGATTTTACAAGATGCAAATATCCCAAACCCACCATCAGGCCTAAAAAACAGCCTTCAAAATTCACACATTGTCTGATTGGCAAGACTACTAACTTGTTTTGAGGACCAGTAAACACTCACTGATGGTGTTCTTCAGTGGCCGCATTTGAGGGCTGTCATTCCGGACCAATTCTCAATGCTTCAAGTTTGCTACCAATTGAAATTGACTAAAACTGATAGAAAATGTAAGCATAGTAAACGTGTTTGTCTCATTCACGCAGAACTGGATACAAACTCTGAAGAGTAGTGAAATACATTTTCCAGTTGTCCTCTGGACTGGTCTGAACAAAAACTAATTTCTGAGGCTGAATAAGAGGTTTTGAAACAATTGAAACTAGTTGAACATTTTTCTATCGAAATTCTTTTAGTTACCTAGCCTAAGATAAATTAGCTCCTATTAATTAACAGAGTCTACTAGTCTGCAGCCAGTAAAATTCAGGAAGGACTATTGACATTTCCTTGTGCTCCACCAGTTTTACTATCAGGTGGCAGCTCTGTAGCATATTATTTTTGCGGACAAGTGAAAATGAAGATTAATTTCTAACCCTGCCCATGTTTTGAATTCTCTTAGGTTGGAAAACATATTTTTGTTTATAACTGTTTTCATTATTCGGAATACTTTGAAAAAACAAGTAGTTTTCCCTGTAAGATGACTGCACATGTAAGCCCTTTCACGTAACTGGAAGAAAAGCCAGATCTGACATGTGCATCCTGTCACTTTTGTAAGCCACTTAGTCAGTGTTTCTAACGGTTGAACGTGGTGCGTGTCAAATGGCCATACATGGCTGTTTTTGTAATACATTATGTTTGGCAGTGAAGAGCACTGGTGCAAGGAAGATGCTGAGTCCTGGCAATCGCTATTTATTTTGTGTGCATCATTTGTATCAGCATTTATTTTCTATGCATCTTTCTCCATCTACTTGAAAGAGGTTGAATATTTTTGTGTATTCATGAAGTGGTTACTGTTCTGAGTTGTGTAAGAGGTTGCCTGGTTGTGAATGGTGAGAACTTGCAGATTAGAACTGCAAGTGTTTCCTGGCTCGGGTTACCACAAATAGTCAGCATGCAGTTTAACATGATTAATATTTATGGACACTTGGCAAAACATGCTTTAGTATTCAGAAATGTGTTGAGTGAACATTATGGAACACGTTTCTATTATTCTAAAAGTGTTTTTGCGGCAATTTTTAACTGTATCGCTCACTCATTTAGTTAACTGAACAATAGCGACACTGACAGCTACATTCCCATTGTTAGTTACAGATACAGAGATATAAATTTGTATTGAAATTAGGATATCTGCAATAAAAAACTTATTCATAGTTGGCCGGCTGTGTTTTGGCAATGTATCATTCAGAGTAGTAATATGTTTTGGAATATTTGTCATTATGAGTTTGATCACAATGCGCAGCCGAGTTGTAAATCTATATAACCATTTAGTATAGTAATTGATGGTCATGAGATGTTCAGCTCGCTTGGTTATTGATCAGAGCATTTTTTGAATCACATCAAAGCAAATGCAGATCTTGTAGCAGACAGTGTCATCACACTGTTTGACACACTACTGAACAGGTTGGTGTATACCTGAATATACCCTGATCACTGGGTAGACCTGTGCTGAATGAATAATAATACCTGTAGTAGCGCACTAGACATTATATAACTGTTCATTCAGGTATGGCAGACTAGGGGCTGCATTGTAACAGATGGGGCTAGGTATGGCAGAATAGGGGCTACATTGCTACATATTGGGCTAGATATGGAAGAATAGGGGCTACATTGTTACAGATGGGGCTAGGTATGGCAGAATAGGGGCTACATTGCTACATATTGGGCTAGATATGGAAGAATAGGGGCTACATTGTTACAGATGGGGCTAGGTATTAAAGAATAGGGGCTACATTGTTACAGATGGGGCTAGGTATGGCAGAATTGGGGCTACATTGCTACATATTGGGCTAGATATGGAAGAATAGGGGCTACATTGTTACAGATGGGGCTAGGTATTAAAGAATAGGGGCTACATTGTTACAGATGGGGCTAGGTATTAAAGAATAGGGGCTACATTGTTACAGATGGGGCTAGGTATGGCAGAATAGGGGCTACATTGCTACATATTGGGCTAGATATGGAAGAATAGGGGCTACATTGTTACAGATGGGGCTAGGTATTAAAGAATAGGGGCTACATTGTTACAGATGGGGCTAGGTATGGCAGAATTGGGGCTACATTGCTACATATTGGGCTAGATATGGAAGAATAGGGGCTACATTGTTACAGATGGGGCTAGGTATTAAAGAATAGGGGCTACATTGTTACAGATGGGGCTAGGTATGGCAGAATAGGGGCTACATTGTTACCGATGGGGCTAGGTATGGAAGAATAAGGGCTACAGTGTTACAGATGGGGGTAGGTATTGAAGAATAGAGGCTACATTGTTACAGATGGGGCTAGGTATGGAAGGATAGGGGCTACATTGTTACAGATGGGGCTAGGTATTGAAGAATAGGGGCTACATTGTTACAGATGGGGCTAGGTATTGCAGAATAAAGGCTACATTGTTACAGATGGGGCTAGGTATGGAAGAATTGGGGCTACAGTGTAACAGATGGGGGTAGGTATTGAAGAATAGGGGCTACATTGTTACAGATGGGGCTAGGTATGGAAGAATAGGGGCTAGTGTTACTGATGGGGCTAGGTATGGAAGAATAGGGGCGGCATTGTTACAGATGGGGCTAGGTATGGAAGAATTTGTCTTGAGTGATTAATTTGTTAATTTCTTATATTTACTGTTCAACCTGTGATAGTGATAAGCTGATATGTCATTCTGTTAGAATATGTATACTCTTGAGAATCAGTTTTGTGTGTCATAGAGAGATAAAAATATCCCTATTAAAAGTGCAGAGTAATATTTCCAATGCATTTGTTGTGCATATGTGATGGTATAACATTTGGTTACAAGTGTATTCAACTGGAATGTTAAGGGGAGTAGCATGTGTGAGGACCTGCTTGCATCAGTGGAAAGTTACAGTAATGTTAGGCAGAGTTACACCAGGGTCTGACAAACATGGGGGTCATTGATGAAAGAAATGTGTGAAATATTGTATGCAAACTGCAGCACTGGTGAGCTTATCAATGTTGTGTTCATGGTTGAAAGGTGATAGGCCCACCAGGTTCCTTGATGATTTTAACTCATCTTAAATTTGGTAACCATAGTATGATAATCGTATGCAATTGTAATACAATTCTCATGTGCCCATTTGGAAACACATCACGGGACAGTTTTTCAGGAGTATGTTGGCTTTTTGATGGTACATTTTACTTTATTTCCCATACATTTGTTTAAGCCTAACTGTGATTTAGTAGCATTGATTTAGATGTACATACCACAGGGAATATAATGGATGGCCATTAGCGAAATGCAGTCTTTGTAAAGGAAAATCGAAAAAAAATAAGAATGACTGTGCTTGCGAAAAACTTGTATTTTTTTTGTACAAATGGAAGTTGTAAAAATCAATTATTGTATTGAGAGTTTTCCAAGTTGGATCAAATTAGAAAGAAAGTGCCACCGGTTTTGACTAAGGTTTTCTCATTAATTATTTAGTCATTATTCTTACTTTGTTTGCCTGGTGGAATAACAAAGCTCTGCACAATGTGTGGTTATTTTTGTGTAGGTCTGTAAGCTCATGGAAGAAACCTTTGTTGAAGGAATGTGCATTTCCACAATAAACCTCTCCTCCATTGATCCACAGACTAAGCTTGAAATACCTGCCACAGTCTGAGGCATGAAATACCGATTGTCAATACTGTATTATTCATGTATCAATCAAACACCTTGTCAGTATGTCCTATAGATACTTTAATCTTTCCCTTTAGCCAACTCAGGCACTGAAATAGCCCTATTCCTGTACTGCTCACTTTGAGCTATTCAGGGCAATAACAACAAGCAATGTCAAGCTCAGTTGTGCATGTCTGTTTTTATAATTAACAGTGACAGAAATTAACTTGTACCTAATTTCCTGAACCTACTTGTTTATTGACC